TCAGTAATCAATTTTGACTAAATCTTAAACATTTTAAAACGAACATGGATTGGCCATGTTACTACAAACGTAGGACCCCACTCCATCTACAATCTACGTGCAGGGATTCCTCAATATCTCTGAACAAAACAGAAACAACACGGAATTGAAGCGTAACAGTTATTGGACCACCTTTGGCAATCATGGATGTTGTTGCGTCAAGGAGGTTCCTGTGCTGATCCGGGGCCAACTGCGCATGTCAGAAACCCTCCTGTGTCAGGGAGAGGAACAATGTGGTATAATATATCCTTCCAATGGCCTCCAGATCTACCAGGAGATCCCGCCCCGTGTCGCTAGAATGACAGCCAGAAGACGCTTCGCGATGGGACGGCGTGGCCCTTCAGCTCTTGGCCGGTGCCGGTTATGTGTCCTTGGTGCTCTACTCAAGAGGCACCTTGCCCGGAAGGAAACAAGGGGCCTCATTATTGTTGAGTAAAGTGGAGGCTTCATTATTGTTGAAGAGAACATGTCGAAATGAATTTTAACAAACTGACCAGGCCATTCCATATTTGCCTAAGAGCGTTCATATTTTCAGAATGGATTCGTGAAGAAAAAAAATCATCAAAAGATTTGAACGTGCCCGCCCACAACCTCCAGAACAAGGGCAGCGATGGTCTGGGTTGCAGTTTCCGTAAAACCGAACGGCGTCAGTCACTGCAAGTGCCACCAGACGGCGGGCGCCATGTTAACCTGTCTTCTGGACAGATTAATGGTTACAGAAACACGAAAATAGAGAATCTACCTTTACTCTTCCAGTTCCACCACCATGTTCCAGCGCCACTTTGCTGTGCTTTAAGGGCCGATGCGTTCTTATCATCAGTCTAAAAATCCCACACGTAAAATATGCGTCCAGACTGCTTTATAGATGCAAAATTTGATGTCCTGAGGCGTTCAAAGGTACTTCTTTCGGAAGCGTCAGCATTTTCGTCCACCCGTTGGCCACCACCCAGTATTAGCGGTTGAGCCAAAGCTGCGCGGCCTACGGAGACTGCAACGCCTGGCGACGAGGTTTTTTTTGCTAAGATTTGCGAGTACGCATGCTCAAAACTATGTCACTTAACTTTTATTACTAACCGATTCAAGTGTTTAAAGGTGAGTATTTCAGAATCGTTATCATTTTCGTCTACCGCTGGACCGTGACGAAAAGTTAACCACTAACCAAAAGTTAACCGCTCCGCGGACTATGGAGACTGCAACGCCTGGTGTCGAGGTTTTTGTTGCTAAGATTTGCGAGCGCGCATGTTAAAACCACGTTACATAAATTGTATCACTAATAGATTCTGACCGAATGTTGAACATCCTGAAAAACGTGGCTTGGCGATGTTAATACACATTGTTGACCACTCGATCTACAATCAAAATTTTCCCTTTAGATTTCGATCAAACAGATCGATCTACAATCTGTCTTCGCGACGTCCTCAATGTCTGTAGAATGCAGATAGAACATGATTAAAAAGTTTCTGAGTTCTATCGGCTTAGAAAGAGACCACTAAGCCATTACAACTTAAGAACACCGGTGATTTATATCATGCGGTCGTTGAACGCCTAATTTCTGCAGTTTATTTACCTTAACACGCGCTCCGGTGGAGGGGTCAAATTGACTCGTCCCCGAAGGTTTTTCCAGAATGGTTTCCGAACGGCATGGCGCAGCCACGCCATGTTTGGCATAGCTATAGACAATTGAATGGCAAATTATTTGGCATCAAAAATTTAGGTGTGCTCCGTAAGGTCGCTGACCTATGGCAGGTCAAAATCAGACCATGGCTTTGGCGAAGTCAACTTCTAGGGAATCGATCAATTTTAGGCAACAGTGGAGTATTAGACGAAACCATACATTTCTGAGATGCTTTCTTAAGCAACAAAAATATTGAATGAGCAAATTTCGTTGACCTAAGGTCAGGTATAAAGGTCAGACAAAGGTCAAAACCAACCTGTTTTTTTACCCTAGTGCTTGTTGTATGGGATAGTTTCTGGTGCTCAGCTCGAATTTATTGATAGCAGGAACCGCATTAGAATCTTCCATGGACTTCTCAAAGGTCAGAATAGGTCATTGGTCTTAATTAACCTTGGTCAAAATTTTGTTTTTAGGAACATACTGCCTAGCGTTATCTTTATCGCTTATTTAAATGCAAAACTCAGAGCAGTCTTCTATGATTTTGGTCACCATGACCTTCAAAAGGTCAAACAAGGTCACCAATCTTAACTAAACATGTGACCTTTTGCTTAAAGACATGTATCTAGATTCCGGGGGCCCTTAGAGGCCAACCTGGAATTTGACCTTGTTTGACCTTATTCTGCCCGAGAGCCATAATCTAGGAACCTCAAACTTTGACCTAAGTGAGTTAACGTACAGGTCAAGACACCCTGTGAATTTGGTGTCTCTAGCTCTCTTAGTTACCGAGACCTCAGGGAGGGGGGGGGGGGTCAAATTGACCCCTCACCTGAGCGAAGGGTATCTAGCCGGCCACCCGGGCGCGTGTTAAAAATGTAAATAAACTTGGTTCCACGGTAGCTTCTGGTTTCTGTTCTAGTTACAACGTAAAAATAGCAATGAAAGGAAGAAAACCGTGTCCCTTGTTAACAAGTAAACTGTGTCTGGGGATATCTTTTGTGTGGGGGGACCATCATAAAGGGGGCTTTTGTCAACCCTGTGTTCCTCTTACCAAGGCTCTGGCTACCCCTGCCTACACACAAAAGCAGATCAAGTCTTCTACGTTGGATGACGGGCAATTAAATGTCCATTGGGCCAATTCATAGCTAAAGTAAGCAGCTTCCCGGCGGCATTTTTCTGGGGCAGTGTGGTTAAGGGAAGATGATTTGGAAAAAGGTACTGTTGCAGGTGTCCAACACATGTTTTACATCCCACTTAGTAGCAATGCTGATCCAGAAACGTGCAACAAAGCATCCATGCCACCAGTTCGCGGCCAGTCATTCCGAGACAGCCGGGCCAGGACAGTGGCCACCGACGGCGGACGGGAGCAGGGTCCAGATAAGAAACATATGACAGATGGGCCTTCATTATATGGCTTGGTTTTCAAAGGAGAATCCTCAGTTCTATGGCTTTTGTCACATGTTTTTTTGGCATTTTCAAGCTTCCGAATTTGTTTCCGCCTAAAACGCCGTGACATTCCTTATCTCTGGAGAGCAGCCAGCGAAATGAAGGCGCAGGCAAAATCTGTTGTGCTGTGAGCCATCGACTGACTTTCAAAATTCTCACCAGCCTATGCTTAAGCCATATTGTGGCATCTACCCTGTGGAGACAGATGCCTTCTCATTGACCCAAAATGCCTACTCGCTCATGGAATTTTGACTCCACCAAAGACAACGGTGAAATGGACAAATAATCTTGGGAAGCTGGATAGCCTTATTTCCCGAATGACATAGATGAGTTGGATTGGCAAGAGTGTGCACCAGTGACAATCAGCACTAGTGCATACCTAGAATAACAGTCATTACATTTGAGCAAAGAACGGTAACCTCCATCTCTACACCCCTCCCCCCCCCCCCCCCCCAGTCATCGGGCTTGTTTTCCAGAAAAAGACCCTGAATTACGCCCTGAGCTGCCCCCCCCCCCCTTTTGAAACATTCCCACGCCCATGGCGATATATAAACTCCACAGTGTTTGAGTCCAGGTGCATTCCCGCCGGCGCCGATCCCGGGTGAGGTATTCATACGACTATGACCCCTAGTGGTAAGGATGGAGGCGGCGGCGTTTGCCGGCCTGGTGCTTGTCCTAAGTTGTTTCCTGCCAAGTCGTAACCAAGAAGCGAAGAAGTCCTGATAAATCGCGCCAATGCAGTCCTCTCCCCTGTGACCTTTTGGGCATGCAATCTCCGTTCAATGCGACCTGTATTGCATGCGGTCTGTTTCCATCGTCACCATTATACAGCACAATTTGTATCCCATAAGATCTTTTCCAATTCAGTTTCTACCCAAACGACATTGGGTTGGTTTCTTTAAATCACGACCTATATTCCGCACAACCTTTAGCCATACCATTGCTATCATCCGATCTGTTATTCACTTCTCCCCGCGGAGCGTTGGTGGAGCTGTCAGAGGAAGCGAACAGATCAAAGGCTGATTGTCACGTCAGGCGACAGTGATTGGGTCAAGGGCTGATCGATAGGTTAGGGACTGATGAACAGACCAGAGACTGATGGACCCGTCAGAGGCAGATCTATACGTACCACGGGCTGATTATCAAGGTAGGAGCTGGTGAAGAGATTAGGGACTGATGGACTGAACAGAGGCTTATGCATAGGGCAGAGACTGATGGACAGGATGGTGTTTGATAAGCTTTCAACAAATTAGAAAGTTGACGAGCTAGTTAAAAGCTCGGATACCGATCGTGTCGTGCAATGAATGTAGATCGTGTAGCATGATGTAATAAGTGCAGTGTGCAGAATAATCACTTAAGTTAAAGGAAATGTGCAGTCATTTTGCACTTCTAAGTTATTGTTAGATCAGACGAGTTTGATTTGATCAGTAATACAAGTTTTCTCGGAATCCGTCCTAATGATGGGAAAGCCCCAGTGACGTTTTGGAGCTCATGGACGTGCTAGGGACAGTTGGATAAGCTTCGAGCTGGTGAAGACAGTCGAGGAAAATGGAAATGTCCTAATTGGTGAACGTGACAGAGGCGCCAGTGCTGTATACTGGACTAAAAACATTGAAAGGCGCAGCAAGTTAACGTTCGAGGTGAAACTGCTACCAAGAATGCATTTACAGCTAAGGCAAAATAGCCCAGGAGTGGGTATAACCGTCTTTTATAAACCAGAAAGTTTCTTCGGATCCAAATACACACTGCTTCCTTCCACCATCTGGACTCTATTGCACCTGTCTCTGGGAGTTAAATTTGCCAGTTCCTCGGTTTTGATTACTGGCCAGTAGCAAGAACCCACGTCGCTTTCAGGACTGGCCGAAGGGAGACTCTGACTCGCGACAGCTCGCCTTTTCAGGACCGGCCGAAGGGAGACTCTGACTCGCAACAGCTCGCCGAGGCTGGCGGTGCCTGCCGGATACGATCAGCAAGTCCGGAAGCTCTCTGTCCTGCCCGACTCTGAAATCGGCAGCAAGGTAACCGTTATTCGTACCAAGAATTCCAGCTTGTCGTCTGGGGTCGTCAAGATCTCTCGTCATAAGCCGAGTTTAATGCTAATGTTTGTGCCTGGTATAAATCACGACTACCATGTGCCTGATTGGCTTTACGATTGCTTAGAGCGTCATTCTACGAGCTGCCGTCAGAGCTCGACCAGCTGCACATCAGCAGGACAGTCAGACAAGACTGGAAAGTGCAGAACAGATGCTGGTGTTAACAAAGATGGGAGACAGTAACTTAATAATAACTCCCGGCGTGCCATGTGGAAGAGATAACATAATTCTGCTCATCAATTAAGTATCTTTAAATCTTCGTTCGCCTCAGGTTTTACACCACGGGTGGTACGCGTGCATCGTGTAGCATTAGTCAGTATAAGCAGCTGACAGGTTCTTGGTAATGGTAAGCGGAGTGTGGTTCGAGGTTCTTTCTTAAAGTCTGGAGCTTTCTACGCCATGTGTTGGCACGGCCACATGGCGCATGGCATTTCGGGATTTATTACGTCGTACTGAGAAGGCCTTCGTATTTGGCGTTACCGCATGACTGTGATGATCTTTCCTGGATCTGCCTCCGCAGGTCCGGCGGACGTCCATCAAAGCAGCTCAAGAACAGATGAATCCCTTGTTGGCCAGTGATAACTGCGCCGATGATGACTCCGATGACAGCACCTCTCTGCCCAGCGATAGTAAAGGTGGCAGCACTGGTTAAAACCTCGGTAATGTGTCGAGGATAGTGTTATCTGTTCTCACATTGTACTTTTGGATGAGTTTAAGCATGTGGAAAAGCGTGTGGCGACATCTTCACGCTTAGAAGTGATTGAAGAGTATGAATTACGAATGGCCGACCTCTGATCGCGCAGTGTTAATATAGCCTTGCATATACGTGGCTTGCGATAGTTATTGAATCGGCGTGATGACGGCGAAGGATGCTGGTAACTGACTGCACTGAGGAGGACGAAAGCGCCGAGGAGGACGAAACAAGTCAACGAGAAAATTATTTCTGACCTCAAAGCGCTCCTTGAGGTATGTTGGCTGTACACAAATTTGATCTCATCACGAGGACAGGAAGTCCTTACTTGTGTCAAAAACATTCGATGCATTTTATTTGCAAATAAAGGTGTTTAGCCCACAGTAAAATGCATAAGATGACCAGACAGACATAAGTTTTGCGAAATGTAATTAATTGTATATATTTGGATTTATTGACCATGAGCTGGGATGCCCGGCAGCGCCAGGCTGCTAAAGAACGTTTACTGGAAAAGAATCATTTGAGAACACAATTGAGTCACCTAGACTGAGTGCACGGTTCGTGTCAGTCGGCTCCTCCGGCACTGTAGCGGCAACGGCACTGGACGAGGAGGCGCCGCCGCCGGCGCTGCGCGCGCGTGCTCCACAGCGCTGCACGGGGAGGCGTCACACCACGGGTACCAGGCGTGGGCCTATGCTGTTGGCGGTTGCAGTGGGGATGTTGCCGACACCGGACGGTGACGTGGGCGCCGCCCCCATCGCCGGCGGCTTCCCGTAACAATGTTTGAACGTGACCGAGGAGTCGTCGGCCGCAACGCCGGCGCCGGACATGGGGGATAGTATCGGCACCGAGCACTCTTATCGTGGAGTTATCTGTCAATGTATCGTCAGCTTCAACTTTCGGCCCCAGCAAGAGCAATTCTAACACTTGATTCTCTGTAAAGGGATTTGTAAGGGCTTTGAGGGACCTAACGGTTGCTCTGCGACTGCATGAACGCCACATTTATTAGAAAATAGTGACACAAAGATGTGCATGAGCCAGTCCTATTGTGGGACGGGGTGGGGCGGGATATTATATACAAACACACACACACACACACACACACACACACACACACACACACACACACACACACACACACACACACACACACACACACACACACACACACACACACACACACACACACACACACACACACACACACACACACATATATATATATATATATATATATATATATATATATATATATATATATATATATATATATATATATATGTGTGTGTGTGTGTGTGTGTGTGTATATATATATATATATATATATATATATATATATATATATATATATATATATGTGTGTGTGTGTGTGTGTGTGTGTGTGTGTGTGTGTGTGTGTGTGTGTGTGTGTGTGTGTGTGTGTGTGTGTGTGTGTGTGTGTGTGTGTGTGTGTGTGTGTGTGTGTGTGTGTGTGTGTGTGTGTGTGTTTTACCTTCACACATCACGTGTGTTGCTTGCCCTACCGTCATCGCCGCCACCGCCAGAAAACCAATTGCCTGAATTAACCATTCTCATATTAGAGCAGCATCTCATTCCGGCAAGAATATCAGCCAAGCCATCAAAAACGATCTCACTCTATTTGACCTGCATCTTCTCACCTAATGTTGCTCGTATTTCCAGTCTGCACTACACATATCACCATCGTATAAACAATATTTTATCTGGTTCTCACTTGAAGTAATGCATTAGCGAACACATTGCAAATGTAATTGCACCGGGGTACACCAGCAACGGAGTATGTCTTTGAGTGTTGATGTCCACCTTTCATGAAAACGTTCACACCCGGAAACCACGACCAATCGGTGCTTCCAAAGCCGCCCAGCGCCAATCGCATCGCGGGCTGCCCATTTCCTTTTCTTCTACTTCGGTGGACAAGGTAGCGAATATCCCCTTTGGTTAACATGGGAGTGGTAGGCTGTACAGACATGTTGACCGTCAGCGTATGTGTGTGGGTGCATCGGCTATCACGCATGCGCCATGACAAAATCTTTCTCGACTGGCTGCACCGTGAACGCCATCCTAGCACTGGGCGGCGAATACATGTGTGGTGGGTACGGTCGCGTGGAGGTACACAAGCCCAGACAAATTTGCAATATTGCTTACAGTGGATAAATATGTTTGCTAATAATTCTTTTATATGGACACTTGCAAAGTCTATCTGTGTTTGTAGGAAAAATAACGCAAACAGTGTAGAATGTGTTCGACGATTTACTCAACGCCCAACGGAATTTTCCGGCACAACCTTGTCAAAAGATGCGACTGCGAGAGCCCAAGATTTACATAAGGCCCTGAAGAGACCACACATTCCTGAGAAAAACGTTGCAGCACTGGCAACTTCCGCTCTGTTGGGGCCCGGTAGGGGTGTGTGTTTTCAGGTTTTGGTTCCGAGTTCGTGCTGTCGTGAGCCTCGAGGCGGCCACCCAAGCTCTGTTCTTGTCTCAGGTTCATGTCAATGATCCATTTTTGAACCATTACCAAGTTTCCAGAAGAGTTCAAGAACCCCAAGACGGTCAGAGAGCCCAAACACGGCTGTGCATGGTGTGCTAGCCCTGAGATGATCTGCCTGATTCCCTGTACCTGGGCGCACCCAGGTAACCCGCCCGACCCCTGATGCCCTGATGACCTGTCTGTCCATCCCCCAGTCACATGTCATTAGTTTTTGTGCGTAGCGTTATTCTTGATACTCGTTTTGCTCCTCTAGTGAACAGCGCTCCGCCTCATCCCCAGTTCTGTTTGACCTTGCTGGCTGCGGCCCAGTCGGACTCACTACGGATTCGGTATTGGTATCCGATTGGGTCCGGAGTCGCGGCTACTAAAATATCACCGTCTCCGCCATTAGTGCATTTGTTATAGTCACAAGTTGCCCTTTTGAACTGGTAAACTAACCTCAACATTATTACTTTAAAATGTAGCAACCATTCTGAAGGTCGCAGTAACTAGCCCTTGTAGAAAATCCCCTCAGAAACACCTCGATCGATTTTTCTTGAAGAATAGCCTCCAACCTGCCGATTCTGGAAATTGTCACACAAGGTTTTTACTCAAATGAAACCAAACCCAAAAGTAAGCGGCCGCACAGATTTGCTTTAACGAAACACCTGCCAACTCCGAGCATAGATTTTCATCCACTCTTGAAAAGCTGGTTTTGTAAACGCTGAGGCAGAGTAGAAACGGAGAGGCGAGGCAGAAAGAAGTCGGAGTCATTACGACACGACCGAAGTCGGAGTCGGAGTGAGCCTCAACCTATGAACTCTACAATAATACTTAAGTGATCCGTTCGATCCCGTCCTCCAGGCAACCGTTGTGAACCTGAACCAAAGACGACTTCTCTGTGCTCCGGTCCAAACGTGACTTCTGAACTCCGGTCCAAAGGTGACTTTTCTGAACTCCAGTCCAAAGGTGAATTCTGACTTGCAAAGTTCATGGTTACTTCTCAGGCCTGCGGCACCGCGTGTGGCCATGTAGTACCCCGCGGCTTTTCAGCCCTGACAGGTAATAAGCTGGCGGTTGTTTTCATCCTGCATTGTTGGCCATGCTGGCTGCTACGGCGAATGCATGGCGCAATTTCGTAAAACATGCCACGTGCAGGTCATACCGTTTGAGAATTATCCAGCTGCGTTCTCGCTGTTTGGGCTATACATGGTGCACAGTAGAGCGGAAGTTGGCGTCGGGTTCTGCCAGTCCACATACTTTTGTCGCTTTTGGGCAACACACAGGCGAACTGAGGTCATGTAATGAATGTCCGCAGCGTGACGGTCAGGGAAATTTAATGTTCTGCTGGTGGCATTTGACGGGAAAATTAAGACGGGCGTCCGAACTGCTTGCGGCGTAGACTCATAACTCAGTTTCACCATTTACGTCGGCCCGTTCTTTTGCTTTGGACGCCACAAACTTGTTCATGAAACTGTGCTGAAGCCGAATACAGAGAAACACGAATTCCTTGCATGATTTTCCTATAGCGGAGGAAACCCACTAACCCGAAAGAAATTTGCCTACACTTGGATATCACACGAATGATATATGATATATTAAATATATAATATACCAATGAAGCGTTAACACGCACTTCGAGCATGACCTTCTTTAGGCATGGTAACACCATTCATCGATGCCAAATCGGTCTAAATCGGTCTAGATAGCGGACACTGGGCTGTTCGTTCTGCCTCTTTGCCACCATAAATCATAATCGTCTGATGCCGTTTGTAACGATTCCAACGCCAGCAAAACGACGCCTTTCGGATCCAATGTTCATGTATGGTGCTGGCTTTTGTGTATGTTAAGAAGGATTTTATCCGTATGCCCCCTCTTCCTCAGTGCGTGCCGAAGAAAACTTTATCGGCGTTTTCAGCATCCTGAGAAAAAGCAAATCATTCGAAATATAAAACACTTCACTTTCTTCAGATTAAGACAAAAACCTTTACAAAATGCTAACACCGGATATACTAACATATTTGCACTTTGTACGCCACTCCAAATTATGTACCAGAACATTTCCACCATTAAGGTAGCGCCGCTAGTACCACAAGTACCTTCCATTGCTCATGTTACTCGCATCATCTCCCCTTTGCGCGAATTTCAAAACTAAGTGCTGGCTAGCTACCGCTGGCGTCCACATGCCTTATTGACACACACGATGCACACACGTTTGCAGTGTCACACGCGTTGATCCACATGCGTTGACACAGACGTTGATTCACATACGTTGCTCCACATACGTTGATCCACACACAACTTGCAGTGCTGAATTCCGTTGTATTAAATGTATAGCTTCTCGCACTTTTCTTTCCCAGCTCTGTACCTACTGCATGGAGCAATAGATGAACAGAAGCAATGTAGAATTATGCGATGCTTAGACTCTGTGAATGTTCACAGAACTTGCCCTAGCCCTGGTTCGCCGTTTTTTGTTTTTTTTTGTTGTTTCTTTTTTGTTTGTTCGTCTTTTTATTGTATTTTATGACTCGGACTGGCAAAGGGATTTATGCGAAGTGAACTCTCCCTAGCGTTTTCAATCCAATAAAGATAGAGCTTAGCGGAAAACTTCAGTGAAGTGGTCGAAACAAGATATCGCCATTGGTACCAGA